ATGAAATTCTAAGGACACCAGTCACTCTTGCTGCTAGTTACTATCTTTGATAATCTGGTTATTATTTACTAGTAAAAGATGAGCTGATATATACCATGAAACAAACTTCCTGAAAATGGGTTACACTCACATCTTGCAGTCAGTACACAGAAGTGTTATGTATCTCTGCAAGTCTCTGTTTTGAAGATTTAAGTCTAACATATGCCATAAGCCACTTAGAATCACAAAAGCATGAAATAACCCGGATTGACTTTGGGAGGTCATCAGGTTGACTCTCCTGCTCAAAGCAGGGCTGACGTCAATGTCAGATACTCAGTGTCTTCCCCAGTCAAGTTTTGCATATCTGTGACCTCCCTAGACAACCTGCTATAGTGTTAGATCAACCACAATTCCATCATTATTCCATCATTAGAAGTGTTCAAACTCAGGCTGCGTGGAGCTTTGAGCAACCTGATCTGGCTGAAGATGTCCCTGCTGATGGCAGGGAGCTTGGGCCAGGTGATATTTAAAGATCTCTTCTGACTCAAGTCATTCTGTGATTCTATTAATTCTTTTTTTCCATAATGGTGGATAATAAATTTTTATGTAATGTATGTCCATTGCTCCTTGTCCTTTTGTGATGGACCTCAAAGATCATTCTGTAACCACTAGAAAGTTGTACACAACAATTAGATCTCCTTAACTTTTTCTTCAGATAACAAAGCATTTTCTAGGACACTGCAGCCTCCTAGTCAGCTTCATGCTCCTCCACTGGACTTGCTTCAGTACACTGATGTTTCTTGCAGATAAGTGTCCACAGCTGGACACAATATTCCAGATGCAGCCTCTTGAGTACTCAGGGAGCAGCCACTTTCCCTGACCTGCTGGCTACATTCTCTTGCACACTCTACTAATGCAGCCAAATATGCAGTTAGCCTTTTTTTGCTGCAAGGGCACAATTGCTGGCTCATGTTCAGGTTGTTCACCATGACTCCCCAGGTCTTTTCCTGAAAGGCTGCCTTGTAGTCTGCCAGTTCCCACCTTGTATTGTGGCACAGTATTTATCATACCCAGACAGAGCTTTATATAAGCTTTACTTGCCTCTTTTTAGATGTGTTTTTTTTTCCACTTTCCTTTTTGAACTTCAAGAAGTTTTTGTCAGTTCTCCAGGCTACTGAGATACCTCTGAATAGCTGTCCTGCCCTCCAGCACACCATCTTCTCCAGACCATTTAATGTAACCTGCTAATATAGTGAGAATGCATTCCATCTCATCATTCAGGTCACTAATGAAGAAGTTAAATAGTACAAGGTTCAGTGTCTAACTCAGAAGAATACCACTCCTAACTGGCTGACAGTTAGACTTTCAGCTACTAACCAGAATTCTTTTAACCTCTTGGTCCTTTCGTCTTTTCCTTAATCTTGTAGTCCAACCACCCTGTCCATCTCTCCAAAGTGTGGTAACAAGGATACAACTGAAGATGATCCCAATAGTCTTGCTAAAGGGCAAATAACCAATATCTATTGTTCACCTCTCATCCTCAAAGCAGGCATTTTATAATTGGAAGCAGTCAGGTATCTGTGGTAAAGCCATGCTGGCTGCTCTTAAATTGTTGTGTTTTGTTTTATTTTGTGAAGAAAGAACAACTATATCGTCCTACACAGCTGTAGCAATTCCAGGGGCTATAGTTGGCTTTATGATGCAGCAGTCAGATTTGGGCTAGTTTTTATATAGCAACACATGCAGGGGGAAGCACAGTGACTCTTCAGCTGTGTCTATACTGTCATGTTAGTTTGGACCTGAACTTGCATGCCTTGCCTACATTCCTCATCTGCTGGTTCAAACAAACCTGAGTTTAGCAGAAAGTTGGCCTGATAAGGAACATAATACAACTAAAGGAGTTTTGAGTTTCCTGTAAGCAGTTACAATGTGAAAGATGCAGAAGTCATTTGAATTGGCCAACTCCCAATCCTATAAAATTGTCCCATCATACAGAGCAGCCTCACCTATCCCTTCGTATGCCCTCGTTCCTTGACACCATTTTGCTTCAACTCTGACACTCTTCTGTTAGCTGTAGTTGATGAGGTGCAAAATTTTTAAGACTTTGACAGTGAAGAATATATGGTATCAACATGGGATCTGTTTGGCTTCCAGGGTTTTGGGTAGTACTATATGGTAGAACTTGTAAATATCTGGAAATTGTTTGGGGACAGCCACTCCAAGAAGTTCTCATGGCAGCTGGTAATGATTATGTTAGCAGAACAGCTGAACAGAAGGCATAAAAGATAAAACCTCAGGAATGTCTTATCTTAGACAAGAAGCCCTCTGCAGCCACATAAAACACATATTCATTACTGCAGTTATGGGTCTAGCTGCATGGCAGGTGAGATTTCAGAGACAGATCTCTAACATTGCAGCATTTTTGTTCTCAGAGAGTGCCCAGCTAAGGTCCAATTCACAGCTAATCCAGAGGTGCTGGTACCCTACCCTGGGTTTCACATACATGCTCTGCAGGTATGTTCTTTAGAACATGCAAATGCTTGTACTGGTTCAGACCACATGTACACGTAGCTTAGTATCCTCTTGCCATAAGTGGCCATAAACAAATGCCTAAGGAAGAACAAGAACAGGGCAAGTGTACATGAAGCTCTCTCAAAATGTCTGCATTTTCAGCTCAGGGTTTTTCCCCAAGTGGTTCCTTTGTTAAATACTCTGGAACTAATCTCTCTTTTAAGTATTTCTATGGTCTCCTCTTGAAGCCTTTTGCATCCATAAAATCCTTTAGGAAGGAGTTGCACAAGTTAATCTTATTTTGTTTCCATTGAAATCTGCATCTATGAACTCCATTTGATGGACTCTCATTCTTGCATTTGAACAGACACTGAAGTCAATTCCTTTCCACCCCGTCTGTACTGCACAGAAATATGGAATATATAGATTTCCGTATATATACATAAATACATTTTCCAAATATTTATTAATAATATAGATATATTCATTATTATGTATCAATACATAATATAATCTACATTCCATACAGAATTCCATATTCATATACAAGCTGTAGGAAAATCATAGATATTTTTTTCTTTCCTAATAAATTCCAACATCTGGTTTGCTTTTCTGATGTTTTCACAAGTTATGCATATATCATCGAGACTTTGCATTGCTTACATGTGAACACCAGATTATGTCTGAAGCTATGATTTTTTTTTCCACATGTATTTCTTTGTCACTCTGTCTTACAAAGGCCTCTTGTGGCCACTTACAGTCTGGCTTTGTCCTTACTATCCTGAATATCTTCATATCACAAACTTTCATACCAGACCAGTGAACTTTCTCACTTCATTGCTCACTTCTTTTCCAGGTTGCTTCAGACTGTAACAACACCACAGATGTCAGAATTGAGCTCTGGGAAACTCCAGTGGTGACCATCCTCCACTGTAATAAGTAACTAGTCCTCTTACCCTCTGTTTCCTAGCTTGTAACCTGTTATTTACCCATAAAAGCACCTTTTATTTAATCTCATTACTATGAAGTTTCCTTGAAAACTGTTGATACTCAGTAGCATCGCAAGTCCAAGCAGATTGGATCAGCTTGGCTGTCTTTGTCCAAATACTTGCTGACACCCTTCAAAAAAAGGATTGCAAAGTAGAACTTCCCTGGTGCTGACTCTTCCAAGGTAACTTTTATGAGCCCAGGAAACCACTCACTCTGCCTGTTATAAGTTTCCACAAATTTGTCCAGAAGTCTGAAACATAATCCTGTAGATTCCGTGATTTTCTCTGAAAACTACTTACAGCTGATACCAATTTGTCACACTCCAGTCTGAGGATATCAAGGACTACAGTGAGCAGTTACAGACTATTTAGAACCATTCAATGAAATAATTTCTTGTATTGGTGATTTGTTAGTTATGTTGCCAGTTTGTCACATAATCTCTTTTACAGTCATTTGAGCTTCAGTCAGATCCCCTTCTAGAAAAGTATTCTGGCATGCGGGTTTTCCGAGTTTCTTCCACAGTGAACATCAGTTTCTTCTCTGAAATGGTCTTTTGCTCTCTATATTGTTCGATCATTGATCAGCCCTGCAGACACTATGAGGAGTGTTTGAAAAAGGCCTTAATGCTGCTTTAGAGTCCTTTAGCAAGTTGCTCTTCCCAGCTTTTTTTTTTTTTTTTCCTGCTTAATTTCATTTTTATATGTTATCAGCCAGGATTTATTTTTTTTCTGTTTTCTTCATTTGAATATGACTTGGAGGTTTTGAAAGTTGCCTTCTTGTTTCTAATAACATCTCTTCTTTACTGTTTAGTCATGCCTGGTTCTTTTTTATCCTTACATAAGCCTGTCTTAATAGGCTGCATGCACTGACAACCTTAATATACTAAATGCACAATTCTGCCATGTCCCAGGTATTGGCCTCTGGTGATTATGTTTATGTGCATATTAGTTAAGAGGAAGAGATGGTTACATAGTTTCTGCCGAGAGAGCAGATGTTATACACAGTACTAGCCATCCTACAGCTCTGACAGTCAAGACATCAGACCTACAATAAAGCAGAAATACTGCATAACTTCAACAAAATGTGTTCCTTCTCCCATTCCAAGCAGTGCTTTTATACTCCAGGGACATACTGGTAACCACCTTCTTCATATGTCTCTTCAGGTCACAGACCTCTGCAGCAACCCCGAAAAATCCCAACCTGTCTTGCCCTGTGAGGCATCTGCTCACAATCTTCTCTTCTGTTCAGCCCAGAGAAAGTGCAGTCCCAATAAATACTCAAAATTAAATTAGTGATTAACTGAGTCCTAAAACCAAGGGAGGAAGAAAGACAGACAGTCATAAACAAAAAGGAGAATGAAGGGGTGTCATGAAGTCATTGTCGAAAGCAGCACCAAATACACCAAACATACTGGCACGGAGTGCAAAGGTAAGGCTGCAGCCACTTTCTCAGCCATCTCTCATGGCCACTTTTCCTTGCTTCCATGTAGTGCTAATACACTTTTGGGATATCACTCTTACCTTTCTTCTGGCAGGCAAAAACTAGACCATATTTTGCCATGTTGCCCTCTTGTCATTCTAAGGAACCACCCAAGTCTACTTCAGCAGAAACAACCCGGTACTGGTAAAAATGAGGAGTTCATGCACACAATGTATGAGGTAGGAAGGCATTAGGGTGAGAGGCAGCAGCAAGCAGTACTTGTAAGGTGAGAAAATCTGCCATGTTAGCAAGGCAGAGCCTAAAAGTTGGGGAAGGGAGTGGCCCACGCTCAAGGGGCTGGGAGGAAAGGAAAAGTGGGTGAATGAGAGACCTGGTGCGAGGAAGTGCTTGTGGAAATTGCGAAAAGGAGAAGTCTGCAGCCACACAGGCTGCAAGATGAGGCTTGTGAATGTGGTGTACCTTGAAGATTGGCTTTCCCTGTGGGAGCAGGCCTACTGCCTGTGGCAGTTTCTGGGTGGACAACAATGGCCTACGCTCTGCAACCTGCCCAGCCTGGTCCTGGCTCCCTCCTTGCCTCACAAGAGGCTGCTCCGCATGCAAACGGAGGTAATAACACGAGCAGCATTTGGTTGTGGCATCCGGGCAATCTTCAAAGTGCACCACTTCACACTTAAAATGCCTAAATGAAGGTCAAAGCTCTTTTGAAGTGGGAGCTGAGAGCCCAGTGACAGATCCTGGAGGACACTCACCACTCAGTAGAAATGTCTACCTGTGGCAGTGGGAACCAGGCACTGCAAGCCACCACTGCTAGCCCCCTGAAACTCAGCTGGACCTCTAGTAGTCATTACACATAAACTAAAAAATTACTATTAAACTGAGATATAAAAGATGGGCTTGTTAAACAGAGGGAGAGGCACTGCTTTTGCTCTTACAAGTAGTATGATCAAACTATGTTTGACCTATATTAGTGTTAGAAATATTTATTTCAAGCACAATAAGCAGACTTAATACATTTTAAATTAAAGATGCTTCATATTTACTCTTTGCCTTGCCATCAAGCCTTTTTCACTTAATGTAGGGAGTTAATTAAAGTAGCCTTCACTAATCTGCGTGACAATTTGCACAGTAATTAGTTCAACAGGAGCAGACAAGACCTTACAGTTCTTCCAAGCCTCAAGGCTGATATGAGCCCCAAGACCAATTGCTACAAGATTCAACTCTTCTGCACATTCCCCTCAATTCCCCAGCTACAGATCAACTTTTAGAAACAGCCCCTCTGGCTTTCTGGAGTCCTACACTTTGAAATCCTTCCCTGAGAGTAAGTGGAGTTCACACCACCCATTAGTACAACAGTATTTGTGAAATGCAGGTTTTGAAGAATTTGCCCTATAATTAATGTATGTGTGTCAGCATCCTCTTCAGTGGCATTGGCAATTAACATTACTAATAGATGTCTCATGTCTGCAGCCTCTCATATGCTATTTTGGCCTTCTGTTTCAGGTTGCTGAACAGAAGAAATGCTACATGAAAACTCTTCTGTATCTTCCTGGAACAGCTGTTAGCTAAAAACCATGGGAAAAATTTAGAGTGTGTATCCTGTTTTAGGTTTATGCAACACATTTGTCCCTACTCCCCTCTTCACTAACATGGTAATATGTATTTTGTTGATGAAAAAAAGTCACAAATTAATCAGACTACAAAAGATAAACAATGACAGAAACTTAGAAATATTATTCCACTCCTGATTTATATGCAGGATAAAAACAGTTAGCAAAGTAAACAAATTTATGAGGGAATGCCACCCTTTCTTTGTAAGGCCTGTAGTACTTCTTTTGTAAACTCTTAAGAACACACACATTCTTCCTATGCATTCTGTATGCATGTATTTATTTTTTATCATAGAATCATAGAACAGTTTGAGTTGGAAGGGACCTTTAAAGGTCTTCAAGTTCTGCAATTAGCAGGGACATCTTCAACTAATCGTATTGCTCAGAACCCCATCCACCCTGACCTTGAATGTTTGCATAAGGAATTAAAAGAACCCACAACTTCACCGATAAGATGAAACACTGGTTTTAAGGCAACAGTGGGCATTGATGAGGCTCATTGCAATGGATGTACAGAAAAAAAATGTCAATGTGTTCCCCCTCAACTCTGGGAGCAGATTCAGTGTGATGCAGAAGCACCATGAGCAATTGTTTCCCACACCCTGCAGGTGCAAGGCAGAAAGGGAGAGTGATGTCTAATCCACTGCCTGGGAGAATCCCATGGAGAACTCTACACACTCAGTTCTGATGGTAGAACTGTCACTCCACTGTGCTCCGTGCAACAGGATGGGCAAGACGGGATCTTTACTCTTGGAGAGAAGTTCTGCAAGTTCCTAATGCACCAGTGATGGCTGTGGCTTTTGTACCTTTAGAAACAACATGCTTGGACTTTACCCAGCAGCATCTCCTAAACCCCATTCAAATTCACCGTGTCTTCTCTCTGTGGGACACACCTCTCGACATCTTCTAAACATCGTATTTCTTCATAGATTTCATTACATCTTCGTCAGCTGCCTCACAGCCCTGTTTTTGTTGTTTGGTCACCAGGAATCAGGTAAATTTCTCTGTGGGACAGGCTAGCGATGCCAGAAGCCACACGGGGACGACGAGCCTCGTGCAGGCTGCAATTCCCGCGGCGCTGTGAGGGGGGTGTTCCCGCAGCCCCACACTGTCCCGCAGCCCCACACTGTCCCGCAGCCCCACACTGTCCCGCAGCCCCACGAGGCCGCGTGCGGGGGCTCCCGGGGCACAGCGCCCCGCGGCTGCTCCCACCGCTCTGCTCCCTAACAAACATTGGGTTTCATTCCCTTTCTCCACGCAACTGTGCTCACATCTGCAGTTCGATCCGGAATAAACAGGACAGGAATTTGTCAAAGGACATTTTTTTGGTAACTATTCAACTAGGACATAGTGCTGGATCAGCAGGTCCTTTGGGGGACACACCTGCGTGTGCTGCCGGCACCGGCACCGCACAGGGCTGAGCTGCATCACAGCCGTGAGAGGCGACCGGGATGAAATTCCTTCTCTGGTTAGAACGCCCAGATCGAGAACTTCTACTCTCTACTATTTCTTCAGAAACAAAACAACAAACCTGAAAGGAGAGTAAGTCCGAAGCAGTGCCCCGCTCCTCCCTCGCGGGAAAGCTACGGCCCCGCAAAGACCCCAGCACGGCAGGACGCGG